AAACAATAGTACACGATACATTTTTTATTTCTCCTTATTATCCCAACATATTCTTGTTTTAGTGCCAGCATACTACATTTTTTCAAAACCAACATGAGTTGTGTCTATTTCATGCTAAGACTAAGAAATCAGCTGGAGTATCAAAGAGCTTCCGTATACACAAAGACGTTCAAAGATAATTTGTCAAACTGATTAACAATTTTAGGAAACTTATTGATTGATTAATCGTAGTTCATTCTACTTATTTAGCGCCAGTAACTATGATCCTAGCCTTCGAGTGAACTGAAGAAGACAAATGGCATTCTTAGTCTCTAGAGGAAAACAGCCTAAACCTGTGAGTTCTAGATACTAAAAATGTCTTTCTGACAAATTCAAAGTGTTAGTTGAATGGAGGTAATCGACAGAAAGCCCTGTTTGACTTAGATTTCATGCTTGTTGGCTCTTACAAACAAGGCATATCTGCAACCTTTGGGTAACTAGCGTCTACCCTGAGACTTGAACCCACATCATGCTGTGCTGCATTCAAACCAGAAGGCGTTAAGGTATTTCGGCGGTGACTGAATTATAGAAGGACTTGACCAGGTACTCTGATTGGTCACTATAGAGGAACCAGTCGTGAATGCTGACTGGCTTCTTCTATTCATTTTCAAATTTGGTCACTGGGCTGAAAACAGGGTAATATATGAAGGTATAACTACGTGTTTCGCGAGAGTATTTCTTATATTATTATTATTTGTCCCTGGGGTTCATAGTGGAACATAGGACTTCAGTAGCACGTCTCCATCCTACTCTGTTCTCTGCAATCTTTTGAACCTTGCCTCATGACTGCCCACAACCTCTCATTTCTTCCTCACACTATCTCCTTAATGTTACCCTCACCTCGGACGCCCAACTCGTTGCTTCCCACCTGGGTTCCACTCAATGGCCTGGCTGGGTGCTTGATGTCCCGGTCGGTCTTCTCAGTGTATGCCTAATCCATCTCCACATCCTTCTGCATATTTGTTGAGCAATAGGTTCTTGGTTAGTTCGTTTCCAGCCAGAGTAAGTTCCTTGTTGCTTATTCTTTCTGGCCATCTGATATTCAGTACCGAGTAAGCGTAGGTGGCAGTTATTGATGAATGTCTGTATGTTGGTTGATGGTGATTGCAGCTTGTTGTTAGTTGGGTATCTTCATCACCTCTGTCTTCTCTATATTCACTTGAAGTCCCGTCTTCGCTGCCTCACCTCTTCTGTCAACTTTTAGTTTTCGCCTGTAGATCTTCAAGTTTGTGCCACAAGACATTAGACACAAGTCATCGGCGAAATCCAGATCTTCTAGGTTCTTTTCCGCAGTCCAGCGTATCCCCACTGTTTGTTGCATGATCCAGTCCACTACAATCAGGAATGTCATGGGTGATAGTAGGCGGCAGCCTTGTCTTACTCCTGTCTTCACTTCAAAAGCATCACTGAGCTTCCCATTGTGGATTACTTGGCATGTGGAGTCTTCACATAGTTGTTGAATGAGGCTGATAAAGGCTTGTGGTATTCGTAGTATTGAAGCAGTTTCCAAATTACTTCTCGGTCGACGCTGTCAAAGGCCTTCTCAAAGTCGATGAAGTCGAGGAATAGGGTTGACTGCCATTCTATACTCTGTTCTATGATGATGCAAAACGTTGCAATTTGGTCTGCACATGATTTGTACTTCCTGAATTCAGCCTGTTCCGGTCGTAGTTTTGAATCCAGTGCATCCTTTAGTCTCTTCAGGATGATGTGGCATAATATTTTGCTTGGTGTGGACAGGAGAGTGATTCCACGCTAAGTACCTTCGCTTCCTTCCAGACCTTCTGCAATAGTAGTGTGAGCATGACCGCTGTTGTCTCTGCGTCTGTTTTCAGTGCTTCTGGTGGGATTCCATCTGATCCTGCTGCTTTCCCGGTGTCACAATAATTAGAAGCCCAATTTAGAGGCTCAATGATCATATAATACGTAATCTTTGTAAAACTTCGCAGTCAGAAATAATAATGCTGAAACTTATTAGCATATAACATTTTAAACCAATCAAACGAAGGTTCTTAAACTAAGCAGATATCAGTGTGCATAGGTGGCTATGCAATGTGCCAGATATGAAGGTAAATCTGTGTGACCGGTCGAAAGGAATAGCAGCAACAACAACAACAACATCTGTCCACACTTTATAGATATTATAAGTAATTCAAAATATTTGGCTGACCTCTAAAAAGGCATATTTGGAAATACACCACTAGTTTCTCTTCTTACTTGCATATTATTCATTTTGTTTGCATTTTTTTCTTTAGGTTATTGCTTCTCTTGTTTGACTCGTTTATTTACCTTTAAAAAAGTGGAATTTACCAGCGTATTTCATGAATCATTCTACTTTTCAGTCTCTATTTTTCCTCTTCTCCATTTGTTTGTTTGTTTTATTTTTCGTGTTGCCTTGTAACCATTTTCATTATTTTGGGAAAAAAGTAAACAAACTCCACTTAACTTTCAATATTTGTCCTCATTGTATTCGTTCTGCTGAATATGATTTACATCTATGCTTTCTTTGTATTACTTTTTGTTTATTTGTTTTTACGCATGAAGTGTGAGTCATTCTCACTAATAAGGAAGAATACACCTAGGTGATCGTTGCAGGAAAAAGAAACAGTAAACATTCAATATTCCGCCTTTTCTCTTTCTCCCTATTCTGTTTAGTCTCATCTGTAGTGAGTGAGTGAGTGAGTGAGAGAGAGAGAGAGAGAGAGAGAGAGAGAGGGGACAGAATAGAGTAGAGAGGTTGTGCTTTTTTATGAACATTTCTATTTTTAGACAGATTCGAAGTAAGAAGAAGCATAGAGTTCTGAATAAAATTTGCATATGTTTACCAAATAATCGATAGAATGTATAAACAGTAACAATAGGCAGAATATGAGGTTGATATCTCTTGATAACTATTGAAAGGTAGATCAATAAGCCTCTAATTATTGATCCTTCATAATGAAGTCAGTAAAAGTAGATGGCCCAACTATATGCTAATCCACTAAGAAATTCACAGAAAGAATTCGAGTATAGCTATCTGACTCATACACTCGAGAAATTAAGCAATCTAATAATATAAAAGATACTAAACCAGATTTCAAAACTAATATGGTTATCAGTACACTTGGTGTTATATGATCGATTGGTAGATATGCGACTTTGCCATTATTACTGTAATATCCACTAGGTAAAGCGTGAGTGATAATCAGTGTGGTTGGTTTCTAACACAGTGATGTAGCATTATTTGCCTGTTCATTTAGCTAGTTCATGGCACTTGTGTGTCCTAGATTATACTGAATTAACTTGGGTGTCTAATTTAGTCCTACAGGAGGTCAGTATCTGCCTAAACAGCTCATTGCTAACATTTCTGACTGCAACACGAAGAGATGTGGGTTTGAATCTCAGGTGGAGCATTAGTTCCTTCGAGGTTGCGGATACACCTTGCTAACGACTGCCAACAAGCACGAAACATGGGTTGTGCAGCGCTTCTTGTCGACTGCCTCCAACTAACTAACAACCATCGAAGTGCTACGCGATTATGAGCCTCCTAGCTTGGTGGTCACACGGAAAAACTTATTCGGTAACCCCTCATCACTCCGAAGCACTGATAACTAGACAGCTGAATAGAATCCTATAGGTTTGTCGAAGTTTATGTGTTACATCATAATAATTAAATGTTTTCTCATACATGTAGTTAACCACCGTTTAACAGCTCTTTTTTTCTTTTCAGATTCATCAAACATCTAAATATTAATTTTATCTAGTCTTTCGGGGTGCAACAAAATGTAGTTACTTCACACAGTTAATAACCCTTCATAGAAAATGTATGACATATCATACAAACTTTATAGTTCTTCTGTGGGGAATTTCTAAGCTTAATAACCATAGCATGTCATGTCATTACTGTTTTGACAGACATGTGAACCATGAATGAGTTACCTTCGAGCAAGTCAACAATAGTGCTTCTATGTCTAACAATATTCTCATTGGTTACCGCTGTTCCTTCCAACTTTATTCAATACTGTAATCTTATTGGTTATCTTTCAAATGCAACTGACCCTATGCTAGTGTAACCGCGTTGCTATAAGTGGAAGTATTTATTTTGAGATGAAGTATTTATAATTGTGTGACCAAGCTTCATTTAGTTGTTTAGCGGAAGAGGTTACTGTAACTACCTAAAATATGCGTATTACAATTATAATCCACGTTCTCCCTGTTTTATTGTGAAGTACTAGTTCCAGTAAATGTTAACTTCGAATAATTAATCTGTAATACAGTTTTAAAAACAGTGCTCTGTATGTTGGTTATAGCATAGGATTATCAGTTTGACTTTCTGAGACAGTTGCGGTTTGGAAGACTTTTAGTGATATTAGATGAGGTTTGAAGGTGAAAAGAAAATTAAGACCATGGTACGATTAGAACCAGAAACTGTCGGGTTTCCAGTTCGGTGCTCTACCAGTTTCAATAAAACTTTACCAGACCATGGCTATCTAGTCAGTCAAACTGATAATCAACATGATGCTGTCTCTGTATTAGGATAAGAAATTCTAACATGGAAGCCAGTGTGAGTAAGATCAAGAGATAATGATGCATCAAAATTCACACGCAATTCAGAAAAAGCCCTTGGTGATTGAAGTGAAATGAAAATCTGGTCGCCAGTCGGGTGTCATAGCCCAGTTGGTAGAGCACCAGGCGGTAAACTCCGTGGCAGCTTGTTAGAATCCTACAGCGACGCAGATTTTTGTTCCACCTTCATACATCACCCAGTATCGATAGCATAAGACGTGAAAAGTTATATAATAAACGCTTTGGTTTCTTACGCAGATTGAAGTGAATACACTAAATAAACGTTAGATTTAACAAATCCACCAGCAAACATCCTTTTTATCCCAAATGATCTAATAATAGTTTTTAAAATATGTAACTTCTACTGAATAGAAATAAAAATTTTGAAGTATTTCCATTTGACTACAAAAACTTACAGTCATATTACAGCAGCGCCCGCAACAAGCCTTTCGACTGCTTTCGAAGCAGTGTTTTGCATTCCAACCAGAAGACAAAGCGCATAGCAGATAGGCTAGTAGTGAAAACAATCCGATAGCTCCTACCAAACCATAAATTGCATAATCCAAATATGGAAACCTAGAGGTCATCAAAACAACAACAATGGGTTGATGAGAGTTAAATGATGAATGGTGTTGAATAAAATTGGCATGAGCAAGTTGTCGGTGAAAAAGGAATCAATTCAGACAGAATCACCTTTAACATCTTTTCTTTTTAGTGATGTGACTAAGCATGTGAGCTCACAAACCTTTCGGCACCAGAAACATGTTAAGCAATCTGCGCCAGTCTAGGTACTCACAGGTTTTAGAATGAACTACGCGTATCACCTTTTTTACATACCATCACAATACCGGTTAATAGTCTTTACAAGTTAGCCTACTCTGTACCTTTTAAGACAATGTGTTTTGTTTCAATTTGAAAGAATTTCTCTGCAGCAAAATGTATGTTGAAGAGTTTATCTTGATTTTCCTAAGTATTCACACGTCACGGAGTCTCGTCATCCTTCCAACGTACCCAATATTACTGACCTAACTATTACTTAAACATAACTAGTTGTGTCCGTATACCGGACTACAAATTTAAAGTTGAAATCCATGACAATTCATAGATCAGAAGAGTTAGCATCAAACGGTTTTATCCGAACAGCAGCGTTTTATACCAAGCTGGAAAAAGGCACTGACAAGTCTTAAACATCTTCCGGAATCGAGGGGTTGGTTGATAGGAGTTCATTCGGCAGGCATCGAATTTCATTCATTGATAAGTATGTAAAAATTATTATTTTATTATTTGTCCTTCGGGTTCCTAGAGGAACTCAGAGCTTCAGTATCACGTTGCCATTCCACTCTTTTCGCTCTAGTCTTTTGAACCTCACTCCACGACTACCAACATGCTTTCATTCCTTCCTCACACCATCTCCTCCATGTCACCCTCACTGGGTAAGACACCCAACTCGTCGTTTCCCATTTCCATTCCACTCGACAAATTGGCCTACTGCGTGATGTCCACAATCAGCCTTCTCAGTCTACACATATTATAATCTATCTCCACTTTCTTCTGCATGTGTGTTCAGTGATGGGTTCTTCGTTGGTCAGTTCGTTACCAGGCCATAGTGAGTTCCCTGTTGCTCATTCTTCCTAGCCTTCTCATCTCAATCTTCAAAATCGAGCGTAGGTATCAGCTGTTGACGAATGTCTGTAGTTTGTTGGAAATGCTCTCCATAACGCGTCAAGTCACTCAACCATCACATAGAAGCACTGACTTCCTTGACTGATATTAGTCTTGAAAATCAGAATATTGTTCACGTTGTATGCTGAGTGTAGTGTAGTGTAGTGCAGTACATCTCCACACTGATTTCAGGTTAATTAAGGAAGGTCTGTCTTGCTATCTTTCCCATCCTGATTTTGACATCCGCATCCGCACCTGTGTCACCTGTAGTCGAAACGATGCTGTCTAGGTAGGTGTGTGAGTGTGTAGGTGTATAGGTGTGTAGGTAGGTAGGTAGGCATTTGTGTAGGTAGATGTGTAGGTGTGTAGGTAGGTAGGTAGGTGTGTAGGTAGGTAGGTAGGTGTGTAGGTAGGTGTGTAGGTAGGTGTGCAGGTAGGTAGGTAGGTAGGTAGGTGTGTAGGTAGGTAGGCGTGTAGGTATGTAGGTAGGTAGGTAGGTAGGTGTGTAGGTAGGTAGGTAGGTGTGTAGGTAGGTCGGTCGGTCGGTAGATAGGTAGGTAGGCTGGTAGGTAGGTAGGTAGGTAGGTAGGTGTGTAGGTAGGTAAGTAGGTAGGTAGGTGTGGGGTGGTAGGTAGGTAGGTAGGTAGGTATGTAGGTAGGTGTGTAGGTAGGTAGGTAGGTAGGTAGGTAGGTAGGTAGGTAGGTAAAAGAGAGAATTTCGTTTGGATTTCTCTCACTGATGATGATTGGTGCTTGTTGTTGGTTAGGTATCTCCATCACCACTGTCTTCTCTGCGTTCACCTGAAGGATGTCTCATCTTCGCTGTCCAGCCTCTTCTGCCAATTTGTTAGTTTTAGCCTGTATATCTTCGAGTTTGTGCTACAAGACATTGGACATAAATCATCATCGACGGCAAAATCTAAATCTTCTAGGGTCTTTTCATCAGTTAAACAGCGTTTGAATTCTGGTGTAACAAGGAGACTTCCGTTATTTTAACTAGGTAGTATTACTAGGATTTCTTCCACCTTCGCGTACAGTATGATTCGTAACGCGTTGGCCCGCATTTGCTGATCACCTTAAAGACATACTTTATGGTAGAAAACGATCAGTTTTGTCACCATCAATATCTTCTGACATGCTGGTTAACATTTCGCAGATCACGTCGTGCATCTTCTAACATTTGAATGAATGTGGATGCCATCTTAAGAAGTGATGTAAATTGCTTTTACCAGAAAAAAACCAGAAATTCACTAGCTGGCATTTGTGATCGTGACAGTTAATGTGAAACATGATTTTGATTAGTATACTTCCAAAGCGTTTATTTCAAGAGTTTGACAAAACTTATTCTACAAAGTTTCAGGCAAAAATGCAAACTAATTGCACCTCATCTACGTTTTCAGAAGAATATAAGATGAAGACTGAGTCATGATGAGATGATAACATCTATCAAATAAATTCATGAATATCCTTTGACTGTCACATAAATGTAGAGATTGAATGAAGTTTGAAAAAAATTTGCATGTAGTAACAGAGAGAACCTTAGGGAATGTTGAAGAAAACAATAACCTGTAAAACTAAATCGCAAAGATGGAAATGGTACTAAGAGCAATATATTACTTCGAAGTTTAGTTAACTTACAGATTTGGAGCATTTAACAGTGTAATTAAATAGCGTCTTGCAAAAATAATTGCTCCACCGAAAGCACCTCCGCCCAGTAGCACAATAATAAAACCAATCAACGATGCAATTGGTGAACTGCGCAAACAACGTACACATGAATTCTCTCCTTTAAAAAATGATAGGAATCAGGTAAAACTGAATTAACATAAGTAGATAAACAGTGTAGCTAGTTTAAATGTAAGTATTTACTAGCATGATTTAGGGGCCTTCACGACCAAGCTCTGTGAAATAAAAATACAATGATTGACATTGAACTGTCCCTGTTTATCGGTAAACGTTTTACTGTCAAATTAAATTGCTATATCAGCACGAGAAATTAATAATAATGTTCTCATTTTCAAGATACCAAATCACTATGGACATGAACAGTGAGTTTTGAAACTTCAAGTAAAATTTAAAGTTTTAAAACGTCAATATTACACTTGAATTATACATACAGTGTCTTGTTATTCTGAAACTCCATTGTATATATCTTTGGGTAACAAAAATATCAAGTTGTGGTCATTGTAAAGTTCGGTGAACTAGTTCTTTCAGTTTTGACGGTTTTATAAACCTAATTACCCAATAATGGTTCTTTCTTAATGAATTGCCACAATTCATTCTTAAAAATTTTAGGCATACAAAGTGTAGCGGCTATTAATGTGGCATTTACTCGGATGACGTTGGTTTGAATATCCTTGTTACCTAAACACTTGGTTTTATCTTCATTCATTAAATAGTCTCAATTTATGCATCTATTAATTTGTACACTAGTCACTAATGTTAGTCTCTTCAGGAATTCTAGAAAAAATGTCATACTACAGTGAAAGCTCACGAATAACACTAATTCATATTTTTCGGAATTTTCGTCAGCTGAGAAAGAAAGTAGAAACAAAGAACGATTCTGAAAGGTCTCATTTATTATTATTATTTTCCCCTTATGTCCCTGGTGGAATATAGGGCTCCAGTAACACGTCGCGATAGCAATCTATTCTTTACAGTCATTTGAATGTGGCTCCATGACTACTCACAAGCCCTCATTCCTTCCTCACACCATCTCCTACATGACACCCTCACCTGGGTAAGACACCCAAATCGTCGTCGCCCAGTTGAATTCCACTCGACGAACTGGCCTAGTGCGTGATGTCCACAATCAGCCTTCTCAGTGTATGCCCGATCAATATCCACTTACTTCTGCATATTTATTGGGTGAAAGGTTCTTTGTTGCTTCGTTTTCAGCCAGAGTTCCTTGATGCTTATTATTCCTGGTCATCCGATGTGATATTCACTATCACGTGAGCGTAGGTATCAGCTGTTGATGAATAATGTCTGTAGTTTGTTGGAAATGCTCTCCATAACGCGTCAAGTCTCTCAACCATCACACAGAAGCACTGACTTGACTGATATTAGTCTTGAAAATCAGAATATTGTTCACGTTGTGTGCTGAGTGTAGTGTGGTGCAGTGTAGGGTAGTGTAGTGCAGTACATCTCCACACTGATTTCAGGTTAATTAAGGAAGGTCTGTCTTGCTATCTTTCCCATTCTGATTTTGACATCCTCATCTGCGTCTGTGTCGCCTGTAGTTGAAACGATGCTGTCTAGGTAGGTGTGTAGGTGTGTAGGTAGGTGTGTAAGTGTCTAGGAGTGTAGGTAGGCAGGTAGGTGTGTAGGTAGGTAGGTGTGTAGGTAGGTGTTTAGGTAGGTAGGTAGGTAGGTGTGTAGGTAGGTAGGTAGGTGAAAGAGAGAATTTCGTTTAGATTCCTCTCACTGATGATGATTGGTGCTTGTTATTGGCTGGGTATCTCCATCACCAATGTCTTCTCTGCGTTCACCTGAAGGATGTCTCATCTTCGCTGTCCAGCCTCTTCTGCCAATTTGTTAGTTTCGGCCTGTATATCTTCGAGTTTGTGCTACAAGACATTAGACGTAAATCATCATCGAAAGCGAAATCCAAATCTCCTAATGTCATGTCATTGGTCACACGGCGTATACTCATCTTTTCACAGCTCCTCATGTTTGCTGCATGATCCAGTCTAGTCGACCACAATCAGGAAAATGATCGGTGATAGTAGGCAGCCTTCTCCTACTCCTCTCCCCTGTCTTCACTTCAAACGCATCACTGAGCTATCCATTGTGAATCAATTGACATGTGACGTTTCCATGTAGTTGCTGAATGAAGTTGATAAGGGTTTGTGCCATTAAAGGCGTATTATTTATGGAGCTGGCAAATTACTTGTTGATCGATGCTGTCGAAGGCCTTCTCGAAGTCGATGAAGTTGAGGTAGAGATTGACTGTCATTCTATATTCTGTTCTATGATCATGTGTAGCATGGAGTTGTTATTTGATCCACACATCATTTAATTTTCTTCGAACTGGCCAGCCAGCCTGTTCAGGTGGTAGTTTGGAATCGAGAGCACGTTTCGGTCTCTCCAGGATGATGTGGCATAATATTTTGTTTGGTGTGGATAGGAGGATTATTCCGCGTCAGTTCTTGTAAATACTTAGGTCATCCTTGTTTGGGAGTTGGCCAAGGTAGCCCTCCTTCCAATCAATTGGCAGGCACCTTTCATTTCTTTCTTTCTTCGTTTCTCACCTCCAAACCATCTGCAGTAGTGATGTGAGCATGTCCACTTTTGTCTCTGCGTCTGCATCCAGTGCTTCTGATGGAATTCCTTCTAGTCCTGCTGCCTTCCCGAATTTCAGCAGTTTGTGGCATTCAGAACTTCACTTCTGCTTTTGTCCAGTGACCCGTGTTCACTGGTAGTTTCGTAACTGTTGGTGTTATTTCTGGACGAGTTGCAGGTGGTTGTGATGTTGGTGATGGATTCAAGAGCTTTTTGAAGTGGTCAGCCCATCGTTTCCTTTGTTCCTCCTCTTTGGTAACTAGCTTTCGTTCACTGTCTTTCATTGGTTTTGTCTGATTTTATCTGTTTCTGGATAGTAAGCTGGTTATTTGATATAATGTTGTCAGGTCTCTCTGGTGTGCAGCCTGTTCTGCTTTGCTTGCTCTAGTGTTGTATATATGTCTTTTGTCTTTTCGTGCACTCTTCTTCACTTTTTTGTCCAGAGTTTTATACGTTGTACTCAGTTCTTCTTTTCGTTGTGCATCCTAGCACTGGTTCACCTTCTGCTTCCCCATCTTCATCTCCCTCCTCAATCAGCTTCCATGTGTCCGTCGAGATCCATTCCTTTTCTTGTTTCTTCTTCTTTCTGAATACGGTTATGCAGGTTTCTTTCCACATTTCTTTCAAGGAGTTTCAGTATTCTTCCATGCAGGTTTCTTTCGGGATGTTGTTCAGTGTCTCCCATTTTTTCTGATGACTGACTTGATGTTCTCTGTAGTTTTGTCCTTCAGTGCAGTTTATGTTCTGGGTGTTGTACTTGAACTGTGGTCTATCACCAACTTCCTCGAAGTATTTCAACTTGCTTTGGAAGATTCCTTGCACTAGATAATGGTCTGAAACTACATCTCCTCTTCTTTATCTGATCTTGTGTCCAGTAGGCTGGCTGCGTCTCCACTTTTTTGAGATTGAGAAGAAGTCGATCTGATTTTCAGTGTAGTGTGTCCATCTGTTGAAATCAAATCCATGTCGCTTTGTAAATATCCTTGTGTTTGTACACGCTGCCTCCAATCACCAAACAGGTGAATGTGTAGAAGTCCACAAACAATTTCCCATTCTCATTCATTTCACTGAGTGCTCCCCGACCCATGATGAGTTTTCTTCCTGTGTTGTCCGCTCCCAGTTTGGCATTCACGTCACCCCACCCATCAGAAATTTGGTGTCATCAACTGGATTCGTGTGTATTACTGATTGAAGTTATCTATAGAATTCCTCGTTCTTTTCTTGATCTGCCTTATTTGTTGGTGCATGGCTTAGTATTGTATGATTGTGACTTTCCTTCCTTTGAGTTGAATTTTGCTGTCATGATCCCGATACTGGAGGAAACTGGTTCCCACTGCATAAGAGCCTTCGATGCTGTTTGGGACATCATGATAGCCACTCCAAAACTCAGTGTGTTTGTGGTTGTCGTCTGGGTGATAATATCGGAGTAGATTAGATTATTGACTCTCTAGTTGATAGTTGGGAGAGTCCACTTCCATTCCATCTGCAGATTCCAAGCACTTACATGCCATACTTCCTCATCTCTTTTGCAATCTGGGCAGCCTCGGTAGGATCATACATAGTGCGGACATTCCATGTCCCAATCCCTACTTTCGCTTTCCACAAGAGAGTGGAGACACATCGGTCAATTGGCTTCCTGAAGGTTTTCACCAACCGGCGTCATTTCGTCTCTCCGATTCAGCGAGGATGAATCGTCTTTATGTTTTATATTTTGTTTGTGCTTTGAAGTTTCTGTAGCGGTTAGATTGGTTTTCCGGTGTACGGTTGCTAGTCTTATTTCCAACCTTTCCTCTCTATCCGGTCTTAGGACCGGCTAGTAACTAGTGAACTAGTTAATCAGGTGGCCTCATTTATTGTAACAAAATTCAGGTTAAAAGTATGTAATTGAAAAACTGACACTTAGGCGTCCACATAGTAGTTACATATTAATACTAGTATTCAGAATACACTTTTTTCCGTTAAATTAAACTACAACAGTTAAAAATGAATAGTTTTGGCATTCTGCCTTATTTTCGGTTCAATATTATTGTATAAAAACCTATATTGCCTGGTTCTTGTTAAGTATCTTATGCAGCCATCAGTTGTTGTATAATGCCACACAATTGCTATTTCACCTTCATTAAAAATGTGTATAACGTTTAGTCGCCAAGAAAATAGTTACAGTGATAAAAATGCCCATCTGTTTTTAGTAAATTTTAAATGATACATGAATCATCATCATCATTATCAACATAGGACCAGGCATTACTGCGTAACGGTCCGAGTTGCCACACCTCATATCAGCACATCAAGTAAAAAGGTAGTGAGGTGAAGGATGAAGATAAGTGAATGCAGTCAAAAGAAATATAAAGTACGAGAAGAAAGGAAAGAGGAGTGACAAAATAGTGAGATTCGGTATAGCGTTGTTAAGATGAGGATAATGTGTGTATACATCTGCGCCACTGACTTCGGTTCTGAGCCATATCACCTAGGGTCTCCAACCACTGGTTCCTCTTGTCCCGT